CACGTTCTGCCCTCTCCCATCCCAAGTGCCCAGCAGGGTCGCGAGTTTGCAATACTTGTGAGTCGGGATTGAAAGGGAAGTGCCTAACCGCAGGTGTAGTGTATAGAATCACATGTAGCGCCTGCCAGAAAGGTGGAGAAGAAGTAACATATGTGGGCGAGACAAAACGGCCTATTAGGCTACGTTTTAATGAGCATGTCGTAAGCGCCAAGAACAAGACCCGAGACACACCCATTGGTGATCACTTTAGATCGGCTCACAGAGAATTAGAACTTCAAAGGGGTGAAATTCCTCTAACGGTGGAAATCATTCAAAAAACCGGCGACCATCCACACCGAAAGATAAGTGAGTCGCTACAAATCCGAAAGCTAAAGCCGCAACTGAATCGAAATGTATCATCGTGGTACATTATGTAGTTATCGGGTTTTATGTGCATGTACATGAGTGAACGTTGAAAAGTAGATGAATGAATCGAATACGAAAACGAATTTAAAGTTAATTTTTGACCTATTAGGTTGTCTATGATCGTTTTTGTTGGGCCCATCTAACATATTCCTTAGAACTGTAGGTATATTGTGCTTTTTTATCACGCGAAGTTGTACAGAAACTGAAAAACTGGCAAAACTGTAACTGCATTGGTGTCTGTGTGTCTTTCGTGTCTGTGTTTAAACTGATATGTGATCAAGGCCCGTGGCCGAAAATTTGTATCAAGCTAAATACATCAAAAACATAAATAATTTGTAAGGAGGTCATTAAAAAGGAATTTACCAATCGAAAGCATCATTTCATTGATTTAGGATCAACGGGGGTGGGTGGCCCGAACCTCTCGGTTAGGACGCCAGAATGTGCGTAGCATCTCAGCTCATAATCTTGCAACAAAGCTTCAAATTGTCTATCCAGTCCTACTTTGCATGCTTTACTTTACTTTTTGTTAGAGCTGGTCTGACATCATTAAACGAGCCTGGTTCAAATTTATCACGGATTTTTTTGTAACTATGTACCGTATTTTACTCGAAGAGGGCAAGAACGCTTTATCACCGCTCATTGCCAAGGAAGACTGAGGAAGATTTCGGAAATCACGTGGGTTGTATAACGGAATGGCTGCTACCAGTTTACGCGGTCAAATGTGTAACCCTCGCCGGCACAGGGGGGGGGGGGTGATGCACCCCCCCCCCTAAGGTTTTTCGCGAATAACTCGCGTAAAAAGCGGCCGATCGCGACGAAACTTTCAGCACCCTCGCAATAATCAATTTTACACCTACCCTGAAAATTTCATGACCCTGACCCAAATGACCTTTGACCTGTGACCTCTTTTCCGAGACCATGTTTGGCCGGAATCGCGATTCGGCGTATGTCGGCTCGCATTAGCCGCGCGTTTGCAAGCTTTTCGTGGTTTCAAACGTTCAAACATGTGATTTGATGTTGCATTTGGGTGACTTCCAGACATTTGGGTGGGTGTCAAGGTCACCTGAAGGTCAGGTCAGGTCATTGACCTTTGCTGACCTCGGGTGACCTCGGTTCACTTTTTCGAGTTTTACATGTTTCTAGGCTAGTTTTTGGAGCTGAATTCGAATTTAGCAACCATTTGGACATTTACGAAGCAGTTTTGGTGCCTTCGAAACATGTTACGAAGCTGTCAGAGGCGGTTGACACGTATTTCGAATGCCCGTCACAACCCCTACCGGTTGACCTGACCTGACCTGACCCGACCTGGTCTAAATGCTTAAAGACATCATCTCTGATCAAAACTAACACGATATTCGTGATCAGCACCCCGGAGAACCACATAGCAGCCACACTTTACGACTTTCTAACAGGTCCCGATTTTCCCGGTTTTCGGGTTATTGACCTGACCTGGAAGGTCACCCGATGACCTAGGACCTTAAAGTTGAGTACCATCGGCTTCGTCTCGTGACGGGCAACACGCTCGTTTTTTCCGCGAAGCTCTAGCTCGATCAGGGGCCAAACGTGAGGGGGGGTCGTACCCCCCCCCCCTTGTGCCGTCGAAGGACGCAAAATGGCCTGTGCCGGCGAGGGGTAAAAATACGCAACACTTCTTCAAAACTGCGATGGTCCATACCTTCGGGGGGCCCATACCTCCCGGGTCTCCCCTATTCCGAAATCGGCAGCAGAACCTTTCTTTCCGCTTATGTCTACGCATTTATGGTGATCACTAGCGGTTCCAGAAAGATGGTCTTAAACGTTGCGGGAGACATAATCCCAAAAAGTTTCTCCCAATTCCAAAAACCTTTCAGATTTTGATTCCATTCCTTACACACGGCTGTGCAGTCTAAAACAAGTATTTGATTATAAAAGTTGTTCAGTTTTCTGAATTGCTGTTAGCACTGTTTTGAGAGACATGCTTAAACATATAATCAAGTAAAGTAACCCTACTCTCATAGTTAATATCCAAAATCGTCAGAAAAGGGCCTGATAATTCCGAGGAGCTTTCGGTTTACGCCTTCTTCAACTCGCTCTACTTTATTTTCCGAAGAGCTACAGTAGAGCGAGTAGAGAAAAGTAGGGAAAGAGTAGGAAAGAGTAGGGAAAATAAAGTAGAGCGAGTTGAAGAAGGCGTAAGCCGAAAGCTCCTCGGAATTACCAGGCCCTTTTCAGACGGTTTTGGATATTAACTATGAGAGTACGGTTACTTTACTTGATTATATTGTTCAGTTTTCGTTTCATTCTCATAATAAGTAAATATTTGTCGCTTTCGGGCGCTGCGTGGATGGCGGAGCGATTTCGGGCGCCCCCCACCTCTGGATCCGCCAGTGATCGTATAACGTTATGTAGTCGAATCCGATTAATTCACTGTTTCTATCCTAAATGTGACCACCCGTCTTATGTCTAGTGTCACCCGTTAGAAAAACACAGCTTTGTTTTAACAACCGTTGCTAAAATTTACATAAAAGTTGAATATAACCGACAAATAGAGCCACTGCCTCGTCGATTTCGCATTACAACTAGTTCCGTTGCAACACACCTAGTTCCGTTGCAAAGTAACTAGGTAGTTTGCAACGTACCTAGGTAGTTTGCATCCTAACTAGTTAGTTTGCAAACTAACTGAACGGTCAGTTAGTTTGCAACGGAACTAGTTTCGTTGCAAACTACCTGGCCGGTCAGGTAGTTTGCAACGAAACTAGTTCCGTTGCAAACTAACGAATTTCGCATACTAACTGTAAAAACAAAATGGATTCCATTTCTATTGGAGGCTTCTACTTTAGCAGAGCTAAACCACGTTGAGTGTTGACCTTTGGTCAAATATGAGGAATTTCCCAGAATGTACTTTAGCAGAGCTATCGAATGCAATGTTGTACAGTTTTATTGTTGCCTGTCAGGGTATACCTACACCGATTTTTGAACTAAAGTCGAACTAGGTGAAATTTGACCTTTGATGACCTCAGTGAAGACCTGATTTCGACCCGACACAAAACAGACGAAATACCTTATGATTTTTAACACCCTTTCGAACGCCGCTTATCGTTAGCCGCTGTGGTCGCAGGAGTCGAGTTGACGGACCCCTCCCCCCGCCCCCCGCACTTCCCTCAGCAGGGCAAATGCAAAAGAAAATCCAAAAGTCCCAGAGTGGCGTTGGTTAATCGCTGTACAATACTTACCACTAACACGCTTGGGCGAAGAACGAGCGAGCGAGGGAGTTGAAGCCCTGCACGTACGAAAGGGCGAAAGGGTGCTTCCCATTGGCTTGAGCACGGCGCTCTATTAGCCGGCCACTATAGCGATGTATAGGTACCAAATTTGGAGGCAATTGGCCAAACCGTACCCGAACTCTGGAAGCGGCACCCTGCACGTGCTTACTGCAAACTGGGTCCAAAGTGACTTGCACGGCACTCTACCGCTTTCGACTTTTGACTTTTGCCGGTCCCTAACCGCTTACCAAATTTGAGCGCAGTCAGCCCAGCCGCTGTTGAAATCTAGAAACGCCCCCTGCGCGTGCGCACGTGGCACGTGCAGTGGCACCCTAACATAACACATGGGAATGCAATGCCTGGTGGTTGCCTACCTACATGCCAAGTTCCAGCGAAATTGCCCCAGTAATTCCCGAGTTATTGTAATGGGAACAAATTTGACACTTTGAATTTTGCACGTTCAGTTGGAGTGACCCACACGCATCGAGAATATCCGATATTTAACAGAAGGGATGCAACTATCCTACAAAAATAACCGCAAGCCAGCGGTTGCCGAAATATATCTCTCGAAATCGCTACTTCGGCAGAACAACTTGAACACCCATAGCTTTTCACGTGGCACGCGCCACGACGGTCAACTAGATGAATCAAGAGTATTCAACTACGGGGTAGAAGGAATGGGGCTACCCAGGAAAAAGACCGCAGGTCAATCGGCCCAGCGGTTGCTGAGATGTAAGCGACCCAGCCGCTCATACTCAAATTTCTGCTATTCTACATAAGACCTCGCTCGCTCGTAATTAAAGCTCAGTGCATGCCGTCATAGCCTGGGGAAAATGGTCCAGGTTCTGATGTAAAAGCAACAGTGCACATCATTCGCAAAGTCCTTTCATTTTCGTAGCATGGCACGTGTTCTAGGCATGGTTCAATGAAATATGGCTCAGAATGTAATAGAAATGTTGGACACAATTCAGTAAAAGCAGCCAATTTCGGCAGAGTGTTTTAGTGCACCGCTAGTTAGACCGAGTGCATGTAGTTATTACGCATTCCCTGGAAAGAGGGCAAGCAGATTAAAAGATATGCAGTTCATATTCAATCATTTTAAAGCTCTGTCTATCTAGCTTCTATCTACGTAGGGTTAAAAAATTCCAAGTAGCCTTCCGCCTTTACCTTATATGATGAGCGATCGCTTGGGTCTGGGTCTGGACCCAATGTTCGTTAGACGACCTGTAGAACTTAACTTACTTTTCCAAGTAGTTATAGACGACTTACAAATGTAAAACCCAATACCTATATCCAAGATAATAATTTGGTTAGTTTAATTTTAGTCAAAGCTGTCTACTCCATATTTTACAGGTGACGCATCCGATCCCTGCGCCTGTCCGGCCGGCTTCAGCCGCTGTGCCGGCCGCTGTCTGAAGCGACTGGACCTGGCAGTCTTCTACCCCGAAGCGGAGAGCCAGTGCGCCGCGCTGGGCGCCCACCTGGCCGTGCCCCGCTCAGACGAGGAGAACCAGTGCGCCATAGACGCCGCCACTGATGTCGAAGTGTGGCTGGGTATCAACGACACCGTCACCGAGGGGCAGTTCGTCGGCGCCGACGGCTGCGGCACCGCGTCGTCCACCGGTCCCCAATGGGTGGAGGGGCAGCCTAACGACCTCTCCGGTCAGGACTTTGTGGTCCTGTTCCCGGTAGAACGAGGTAGCGGCTGGGCTGACGAACCAGCTTTATCACTGTATAGGCCCCTGTGTCAACTGGGGGCCTGCTATCAGCCTGGCTGCCTATGAAGTCGCTCACTGGCGAGCCCAGCGGCTAGCTGATAATTGATATGTCGTCAAGATTAGTCCCGTAAAGTGCACCGTATGAGTACTATGTAGGACTTAACGATATGATATGATGGGCTTGCTTAATGACGACAGCTTGCGTTTCATGTTTGGGCGACACAACTTTGATATTTCACCAAAGCGCTTTAGAATACCCTGCGTCGTCGTTTGAAATGTTTGACAATTCACAGCCTCATCAGTTTAGGGTTTATTACGTCAGTGTTGTCAGTGGTGTGTGTATGGTTGCTACGTTGCAGGCTGCACTCTGGCTTATTTGATATCACGGAAAATGGCCACATTACGGTAGCTACTGAGCTTTGTTGCACTTTGCGCTAGTGCCTCCGTCTCGGACGCTTTCTTGCAATTGCTTAATAACCCTGGCTTTGCTGAGGGAGGGGGCATTACGCCAGGTTTTGTGTGCCTGTTGAGAATTATTTTATCATGATGTAACGTTTTAAAAAGGTTGTGTTTTATTTCCCTGACTTCACCTGTTAGTGGAGAGCTCTTGGTGACAATCGCAAATAAACAATAAACAAAAAATAAAATCAGTTCAATTTTTTAGCTATCAGAGTTTAAGTGGCGTCAAAATTGCTTAGTTTTCGTCAAATAAAATGGCAAACGTTTGAGAAACAATAAAGTTAGAAGAATCGACAAACAAGCATGCCTCAAACCTCGCCGGACCTATCGGTTTTCTACATACTTTCGGCCGAGGGAGGGTGATACTACTCCCACTCTCGTCGTTTCGCCTCGAATTAAGCCAGATCGTCCATCTAAACGTTGAACTGAAGTTGCGGTTCCAGGAGTATTTTTTTTTTTTGTACTGAACTGTCGCAAAAAGTGACAACACTATAATGACTATAATGATCTCTCTCTCCTCTCTCTCCTCTCTCCTCCTCTCCTCTCTCCTCTCTCTCTCTCTCTCTCTCTCCCTCTCTCTCTCTCTCTCTCTCCTCTCTCTCTCTCTCTCTCTCTCTCCTCCTCTCTCTCTCTCTCTCTCTCTCTCTCTCCTCTCTCTCTCTCTCTCTCTCTCTCTCTCTCCTCTCTCCCTCTCTCTCTCTCTCTCTCTCTCTCTCTCTCTCTCTCTCTCTCCCCCACTCTCTCTCTCTCTCCCCTGGACGCAAGCGTCATCTGTATTTCTATTTCAGAGAGGCGACATCTACATCAAACGCATAGTTACGGTCTACGGAACGATCGATGCTACACTGTGGCCGTTTTCACGACGGAACTTTCGCAGAGGAACTTATTGATACCTAAAAAGTACCTACCCTTAGAGGCCTTAACATCCCTCAAACTGAAATATTTCATGTTCAAAATAATTTTAGAAGTTTAAATCGGGGCATTTTTGCCCTCAAATCACTTATTATTTACAAACACAGCAATTTTTGGTTCTAGTAGCCCACCTTTCGACTATGAGGTATTAAATCAGCGTGGCAACTTGCTCCCTCTTTGCTCCCTCGGGTATCTAATTCCGGAATTCTTAAAAACAGGAAAGTATATATCGAGTTCTCTTTTATACCTATTCAGTTATGTTTTAATGGTGATTAAAATATGACAAATTTTTTAATTACATTCATATAAGAAAACACGCAAAACAATGAAACAAAAATAACTACGGCAGATAATTACCTTCAGGTATCTAATTCCGACCAATCAGCACCTCAGTAGGATATGACGTCATGCAAGAATGGTGGTGAAGGCCGTTTGCAGTCCCGGCCGGTAGGTCACGTGACCGCCGGGCGCCTCGGGTCACGCGGCGGTCGGGAGTCGGACGCGGGGCGTGGTCGCGGGCGGACGCGCGGGCATCATGCTTTGCTTGCTTGCTTTGTCAACTTCATATAACTTACTATCGCATTCGTGTGAAAGCCAAACACTGCTCAGTGCCCTTAGAAATTGAGTTTTGGAAAGCTCAAGTCCCTATAGCTCCTCAGGTCGGCAACAGTTGAAGCCTCATCTGAACCCATGTGAAAAAACGAGGGTAAGGAACCTTGTGTTGCTTTTTCTTTTACCGTCATAATTATCTCAAACCATCACAATTTTGAGTTGCCACATTGTCTGCTTCACTACATTCGTGTAAAACTTGGGTGAAGGCTGGTGGCTCAAAGAAAGGTGAAGATATTTCTTTAAGTGCCTAATCCGTGAAATTGAAATATCCCGGCTTTACAAATCTACACTTTTCATTTTCTCCACGATACATTTTTTAAAATTGTTTAAATTTTATCTACATTTGTTAAAATCGGGGCTTTGGTTTTGTGTAAACTAGATCATAAAGTTTACTATAGTTTTGTGTAACCTGATGGCTGAAGAAAATAGTAATTTTGCTAAAATGATGTGCGGAAATTTGTTGCTTTCCAAATCAAATTACTCATACCTATATTTCATTCAAAATTAGGAGGCATTATTACTGTTTTTCCTTGTAACATGAACTGAGTTTGGGTACGGTGCTCCGGAAACGTTGTGGAACTTTAAGCTAGCTAGAGCAGTTTCCATAAAAATTGCTTAGATAGTTGACATGGCTTGTTGACAACTCTTTTGCTGTTTCTAAAAAAGTGGAAAAAATATTTTCCTGCATTAAGCACACAAGGCATGTTATTCTCATAAGCTATCGAATGTGTGTGTGTGTTTTTTAAGTTGTTTTTTAAGCTTTTAAGCTGTAACTTCAGTTACTTCACTTTAGAACATATTGCCCAGAATGCGTCACTGATCATGAGCTGGTATATCATATCATGTAGCAAATACATAAATGAGAATAGTGTGTCATGAATTTTTGTGCATGCTTCTGGATCATCTGTAATTACATCAAAGGCTCGGCTCAAGAGTGTCCTGCCGACCAGCTTATGCCCAACCCTTTCTGTCCGCAGAACGTCGCCTGCGACTCCCGCACACCGTTTGCCCCCCGTCCGTACTGGTCTTCGCGCTGCGAGCCGCGCTGGAGTTCGCGGCGGCGTCGTGGAGCTCCCATCGGGACGGCGTGTGATGCCCGCGTCGAGCTTATAAGCCGTGAGCTTCGATTGGCGGCTCACGCGGTCACCAGCTGTATGTACAGCCTCGGCCCGACGACCCCCTAATGGCCGAGACCGGCATACCCCCGGCAGGGGTCCGCTGTCCGGCGCAGCGCTGGCCGCCCGCATGCTATGCTACTTTTGGCTGTATCGCTGCCCAGCGGGAGCGCGCTCCACGCTGCGGAAGAGGTACACGTTGCGACCCGACTGAGGACTGCAACCGGATGGTGACACGTCGGCCTCTGCGCCCTGGCCGGGGCAGGCGTGACCGACGTCACAGTGGAGGAACGCCCAAACAAGACCAGCCCACCGTCGGAGCAGCATGGAAATATCATGTTCTGCCTGGACGTCGGACCCGGCGGCGGCGCAGTGCACCTGCACACTGCGGAGAGGGGCGCTGGAGGCTACTCTGGAGCTTCTGCCATTCCGCGGCGCGACTGCTGGCAAAACGGCGGCGATTGAGGCGGTTGGGAACAGCTGCAGCAATGGTGATGGCGGTGATGGCGACATGGCGGTTTGGGACTTCATCTCAGCGCGGCCGCCGCCCAGGCGCCGCTGCGCCCGGCTGCTCAGCCACCTACCGGATGGCGGGTGTGGCCCTTACGGCCCTCACGCCCGTTCGGTCTGCGGCACGTTGTGGGGTGGCGGTCGCGGGGTTAGCGGCGTTGGACTTCGTCCTTTATCCAGACTGCACCGCACCATCTGAACGGATGGATCTGCCAAGAAAGATGACATCCAAGGCGGCTATGAGGCGATCACAAAGCTTCACCAAGAGCTTCTCTTTCATGGGGCCGGCCGGCCGTTAAGTCGCAACACCGGCTGCCGAGTGCCAACAGCTGCGTGCGCTGGCGCCGACGCGTTGTGGGCCGCGCTGCTGACGCCCAAGCTGCGATATCAACCATCTATGAATAAGTGGCAGCGGTGGCGGCTTGTCAGTTGTTAACGTGCCTTAACCCGCGCCGTGCTGGGGGGGGCGTTTTACGCCCCCCCCCCCTCAGGTTTTTCGCGAATATCTCAAAAACGGCGGCGCGCAGCGCCGCTGTTTTGGTACACGTGTTCCTACATCATTTCCGCACATGTTGTGAAAATTTCAGACCTAGGCCGTTCAAGGTCAGGTCACCAGGTCACGTCAAGTGACCTTACCTCAGAAAAAGTTCAAAGGCTCGCTATAGCTACACCGACTGAACGATCACTTTGAAACTTTCAGCGATTGATATGAGTAACAGTATGTATAAAATGTATATCTCGGATTTTTGATATCTGTGACCTAAGGTCAGGTCAATTTGCGACCTCTCCATTATAAGTCAATGGGAGAAATTGAAATGCGCCTCTTTTGGACGAATATCGTTCAAAACGCTCTCAAACATCGGTTCATAGGTAAACATGACACACTGAATAGGAAAAATGCACCTGTGACCCCTCTGTGTGCCCCTGAGGTCATCTCAGGTCATGAACGGTCGCCAGCAGTTTTTTGGCTATAACTTTTGATAGAGACGTGCTAGAGCGGTGAAAACACGTCAGATGTGTTCAGCTCGACGATACGGATCGACTGATATGCAACATGACCCTTTTCGGTCAGGTCATGACCTTGACCTGAGGTCAAATTTTCAAAATGACCTTTCAAGGTCAACAAATAGTTCATTCGACGCGTCTCGACGAGAGGAACACGATGCTGGCAAAAGTAATGTCATGGCGCTTATGAGTCAAAAGTTATTGACGAAAAAACGTTTTTCGTAAAAACGGCTATTTTGGAGTTTTTGCCCTCTGGAGGCTAAACCGTTGACCTGAGGTCAAATCTGAGAACATTACTCAGAAAGGTCTGTAAAAGGGCTATCGAATGCGCTTTTCCGCGGCGCTGTAGCTCTATCGGTTCCCGAGATAGCCGTTGGCAGTTTCCAAAATGTTGAAATAGTCAACATTTACCTTTGGTGACCTCTGGTGACCTGACCTTTGACCTGACCCAAAAAATGACAGAAGTGTTTTCGTCCTTATTTTTGACGCTCTTTCGATTGCCGCTTACCGCGTGTCGCTACGTGGCCCAGGAGCCGAGTTAGACGGGGGGGGGCGTGAAACGCCCCCCCCCCCCCAGCACTCGGCGGAAAGTTCAGGCCACCAGCACGGCGCGGGAACAGACGTTGCGAATAGCCCGCGTTGGAATCGCATGGTTGGGAACACAACGCAAGTAAAAATGGGCTTCCTTGATGAACCTACTTTTTAAGCATTGTAGCCTTTGTAATTTGGATGTTTTGCTGTAGATATTATTTTCTACATATATACTATATAGGCACTCACGTGCTTTAAATCGCGCAATGCAATTGAACCATGGTAAAGACAATGATAATGAACTGAGAGCTGACATGCCCCATGCTTTGTGTGTGTATGTGTGAGTGTGTGTGTGTGTGTTTTTTTTTTTGGCGAGTCGATAAAAGTGGTTTTGGACACTGGATGAGTTCTAGGGTGTGGTGAGGGGGGATGTAATTCCACAGACCTTCTGTCAGATTCACTAATGCAGTAGGTCTGTGCGGTGTTTAGTTATCGGAGCATTCTTTGAAAGTCGTGA